TAGCTTATAGATTTGATATCTCAATGATTCGTATCAGGAGAGGGATTACAAGGTGATTTTCTTCTGCAATCAATCATTCATGAATCAAACATGAGATTAAAGATGAGATTTAGACGATCATTTTAAGCCATTACGTAATATTCTGGAGGTTGTTTGTTTGTATCCCTAGATCTTAAACCCTCAAGATGTAAACATAATGCCTTTCCTGAGATACAGGCCTACACCTGTAACCCCCCCCCCCCATGATTGTCATTTCAGTCTAGACATCAAACTATTAATTTGAAACTTAAGGTCAAACAACAATTGACAAAGGTAAAAAAAGAGCAATCTTTGTGACCTTCCTCATTTCAAAATATTACCAGTAAACAGGAAAGTGGTTGAAAATTGCCATTTAATGTTTGGACTGATATACACTATTCAGAACCCACTCTCTCTCTCTTTAATCAATTCATAAAATTTTAGTTAATATCACGCAAGTTCTATCCCTGTCTCTAATAAGATATCAATCAATCAGTCAATTCATTATCCACCTCATAGTAATCAATTAGGTCACATATAGGAAAATAGAAACTGCAATTGGATGTACCAATCAACTTGGACACAGTTGTCAACCATACTCAATCTGACAGATCTCATTAAAAAGGTAGACAACGTCAATGGTTCTATCCTCTCATTCCAAAACTTTCTGCTTGGCTGACTGAACGTGTGAGTTTGTTGGTGGGTTAGAATTGCAAAGCCTCGTTCTGCCTCATTGGGTGCTAGTGAAGGAGGCCCTCGTGTGATGAGTCTTACTTGTCTGTGGGAAGCTGCTCTTGTAAACCACAAGGTCGTAATAATTTTTAAATTCTATTCTGAGGTTTAAAAAAGTGAAAAATGGTTGAATATGAGTAAATCTGATTGGAATAATAACTCAGGTGGCTGTGGGGAAGTGGGAGGATGAGTTTTTTTGTATAGCATAGGATCTACCTTGTTCCTGGAAGCAATGGTTACAACCTAATCAATAATCCAATCATAAACCTATCCCTATATCTCTTCTAAAGTAAAGCCTGGAGAAAATGTTATCGTAGTACATGTTTATATTTTTTCTCTGTATTTTGTATATATATATACTGTATATGTACATGTATTTATTTCAATATGATATTTGTACCCCATGATATAGACTTATTATAATTTAGACTTATGATATTTAATATATTTATTTACCTTTTTAACTCACTTGCATTTTCCCAGACTAATATATTATTATCATTTACTCCCTCCTTTTCTTTGACCCATTTTGCTAACTTAACCAGGAGCACTTTAAGGTGTGGTTGCGGAACCCAGATAGTGTATGTGCCCTATTATAGTAGACCAAATGTGCTTGCTTGGATTTGTTTATCCCCTTATGTATATATTTGCATCCCATATTTCATAATCATCATCATCATCATCATCATCATCATCATTGCATCTTATGTTTTACCACCATTTTGTTCATCTAATCGTCACTGGTTTTGCATTTCGGTGTGCACCAATAAGTGCCATGTCTGTAGATAAACATTAATTAATCTTTTTTAGATTTTGTATTTTTCATCTTAAATTAAAGATAATATTGAAACTTTCCTTCACTGAAATTTTACAGCAACTTATTGTTGTATGTTGAGATGCATTAATTAAAATGAGCTTATCCAGACCAAAGTATTTCATCAAATGAGCTATCATAAATACTCTCTTCCTTGAAAGTAGGCTACGCCATTACAGCTGTAAACATTTCCCTCGCTATATACTGCCGAGTGCCTAACATACGACTTCGAAGGTTACTTCCAGTTGATATTAGATTATTGGGGAAAGAGCAACCAATTTAGGCCAAGTAATCTGGGTGAGACTACTTCTCTGCAATTGTAACTCGTAAGATATGCGACAGTACCATGACAGTACCACATATGAAATCAGAATATACTGTGCTCATATTGAGAAGTAAAAAAAAAGGTTCCTTGCCCCCTTTATAATTTGCTTATATTTAACCAAAACAAATCACCTGCCTGGAGCCAGAAGTGCATTAGCTCTGTGTTATTAAAAGTATGAGAGTTAATGCTATGATATACTTCTTTTGGCCGAAACAAATGTTATTTTGCTTTTTACACATGGTAAATGTCATATATATTTGAAAAGAATAATCCCTCTTCCCATAGATGATTTGCATCTTGATTACTAAAACAAGTAAAACTTTGCTATTTCAAGTTGCAAAACATATTCTTTAAAAGGTTATCTCCTCCCGATCTGTGATTTGCTTCTATTTTTTAAACCAAAACTTATTACTTTGCTATTGGCTATTCCTGTGTTACACTTTGCCAATATTTAGTTGTAAAAAATTTATCAAGTTGTTTGTCCTCTTCAAATTTACCCCTATTCCCTTCTCCCTTGTTCGGTTAAAAAATATCCTTTGATATATAAAAGACGAAATCAGTAATGATGTTTGCTAAATTTACAGTTTTGTGAGAAATGGTCCAACCCTAGGTTGAAAATGCATGCATGAACATACATGTATTGGTGAATAAATGTGATGGCAGGTTGTCTAAAGTAGCATTATTAAGTATTGAAAACTGTGTGTACATGAATGCTTTCATGTGTAATGCATCTTGGTTGATTGAAGGTTTGGTGTAAATAGTGATTACATGCTGAAAACTGTTATGTGTGATGCAATGCAAATGAATGAAACATCAATATGTATGAGATGTCAATGTGAAAGAATTGGGATGAAAGTTTCGTTCATACATGACCTGGTAAACCCATTTTTTTTTTTAAAGCGAAATTAACTATTTTAAGTGCAAATAGAAATTTTTAGTGGGGGTGGGGGCAAGAAAGCAATGTTAAAAAAAGGAGATATGTTCTCATTTATACTTGACATTTTTTTTAGATTTAAACAAATTGAAGCATACTGTGCTTATGTCATTTAATATATTTATTTTTATTTAAGTTATTTTTTTACATCATGTATGAACGAAGCTTTCATGTGAGAGATGAATACCGGTAGTGGAAATGATTCAATGTTGAAAGCCTATTATTTCAGGTAAGGGAGGGGCATTCATGTTTTCTGCCCCATGGATTCCTCACAAATAGCATTGTTACGGTGATTTTTTGACAATCATCATCATGTGCACATAGGCTCATTTTTTAGTTTCCACCCACCGTGCCATGCGTATGAAATCAATTTTCATCCATTGTTCTGGTGTTCCACTTCATTCATCTGTCATCACATTCTCATTCACATCAACCTACCTGGCCGCCATCTTTAATTTGTAGTCGATGTACATTATACAAGGTGTTTTACTCAATTTTTACTGCCATTTTCTTTAGCACTAGAAGGATTTTATGTGTATGCCATGAGAATTTCAGTTGGTGTCAAGTTTTATTTTATAATTTTTTTCAACATCATCGGAGCAAGAAGGCTGTTCATTAGGCCAGGAGTGATATGTTTTCATCTCTATTTTCATCACCATTCGCAATTATCTGTAGTTTAGAGCAACTAGTCCATTTCTCATTTTCATTCCTTTGAAAATGAGCAAGATTAGAAACTGTGAATAGATTCTCAATGGGAGAGCAATTAAATCCTTGGTCTTAAATGTTTTCAATTTTATTATCAGTGATGAGTAGTTTTAACAGGTAGCTTAGAATCAGAATAAGACTGTCATCAAGTGTAAATGGATTCCAGTTTATATGTACATTAGCCGAGAAACAGTAATTGTTTTCAGCTCATTTTTCATCATCTCTCATGCTATTTTATAGTCTAGCTCTATTTTTTTGTTTTAATTAGGTTGTTTGTTTGAAATAATCGTTTATCACTATTTGCTGAAGTATAATATAATTATTTGCTCTTGTCATAAAAGCAAATATTGTAGAACTCCATTAATTTCCAAGTTAAATTAATGACTATAGTGCTAATCAGTTGTGGTTTCAGTGGCTTATGTTTTAGCCTTGGAACTTGAGGAAAAACATCATCCATCAAAGCATGTTAGAATTATGATTCATATTAAAATATAGATTAGTTCATCTCAGCCATGACATTACCATCAATATAATTGTGCATCTCATTTCATTCATCGCATCTCATTCCAGTGGTTCTCTGGCATTGTGTGTATCTAAGAACAAATTATACCTCTAATTCATTAGAACTTGTCATATAAAACTTTCAACTTATTCTAGGGTTCCACAACTTATTCTGGGGTTCCACACTGATTCATATTCACAGGGGCCATATTATAATTGTTTAGGTTCTGTATGCAAGAAGGAGGGGGTTTGGACTTGGGATTAAGGTGACTTGTTTATAGTGTTTAGCACAGAATTTTCTTATGCTTAATGTTGAAATATTTTGGTGAGTTTGAAAACTAATTTTACAGGCATGAATATATTTTTTTAATGATCTGTATGCAAGAGGGGGTGGGGGTAGATGACTTGGGATTTAGGTGATCTGCTAGTGTCAAGTCCGGGATTGTCTTACGGTATGTTTATCGGTGCAATATTTTGGTGAAGTTAAAAATGACTTTTACAGGCATGAATATTTTTTTCAATTATAATTGCTGGTGACATATATGTTGCATGGGTTTGAAATATATTTTGAAGCACTTATCTACGCACTCTGAGAATTGGGGGGGGGGGGGGGGGCCTTAGAAGAATTTGCTCTTCACTTTGAGTCATTTACTACGTCATACAGTATTCCACCACATCATCTGCTTGGTGTCAGAAGGGAGTTTCCTCATATTAATTACTTTGTAATGCCCTTTTGGCTCTCAGCAGACGATATAAAAGATTATCTTTTGATATTCGTCCTGATCATTTGATATTATGAGAGTCCATATTTTCTTGACTCTTCCATCTCAGGAGAGTCTTATATTCTCTCTCTATCACCCTTGTTTATCGTTAACGCCCCTTTGGACCCCAGCTGACGAAATTTTCTACACCCCTCGCGTTAAGGAGAGCCTTTATACCATCTATGTATCACCCTTGTTTCATTGTAACAGGGTATATTCCCAACCTGTCGTGCTGACGTCGATATCTGTCGGGGTTTCCAGGTTTGTTGCACTGGATGGTCACTACACCACAAGAAATTGCATCCCAAAACTAACCAAATTGTTTTTGTTTTATTTTCGAAATTAATTGGTTTCTCGGTGCTGATTTTATTTTTTTCATTTTCAACCCCTTTTTATTTGTAAAAGTTTTTCGTGATGTGTTTTAAAAAACTCTGAAATTCTCAATGATGACAAAGAGGGCAGCTAAAGGTATTTTGATAAAAATGCATGATAATTGGGGAAAAACTGATATATATTATATTCTATTGCATGATAGCCAAATGCATTCTTCTTCTGGCATGTTTTAAGTAACAATTAAATTACAGTGTCATTTGATTAAGAAAGATGTATCAAATGTAGAATTCAGACATTCAAGTTCACATCTTCATATGGCTGACGTATTTTACCTGCCCATTTTAAAACAATTTTTCTGATGCAAATCGGAAAAATCAGAAATTAATTTTAACGTTTGATTTGTGCAGCAGCTTGTAGATTACCCCCGCAGATTTTGTTTTTGTTTGTATTCATTAATGCGAGAAATCATTTTCATTATCAATATTTACTCTGCTTAAACCTGCTTAAACAGTTAGTACTGTTTGTAAAAGCAAGTAAAAAGTAAAATACAATTGTACATTCACTACATTATCAAATTACAATGGAGGAAGTGGGAACTTGCTACGGGTACTTGGGGTGACAAAAGCAATTAAAATACTTCTTATTCAGTAGCATGAATATCTAAATAATGAAAACAAAATACTTTTTTTCTTCATTTGATTGCAGGCAAGTGCAACCAACTGCGACATTAACAGATCATTTTCTATTTAAAGAGTCAAGTCAGAATACTAGTAGTGTTAAATCATATACTTTAACAAATATCTAATTTCCTTCTGGCTGGCAACGGACAATATCATCTTTTTGAAGCCAGAAAGGCATTAACTCTGCGTAAAATAATATGAGTTGATGCCCTTCTGGCTTCGAAGGGACAATATGTACTTGTAATATTATTTTTTTCTCCTGAAGGGAAAGTATTTTTTCGAGGAATCATTTAACAAAGTCAGAAATCAGTCATTAGAAGATACCAGTAGCAATGATATTTTGAAAATGTTGACATTTTCATTGACAACTTTAGAGAAATCCATATTCTTGTCAAGATTATTTTAGTGGTTTATATTCTGTAATTAAGTGTGAATCTGAGGTCAAAGAAATTAAAATCGTAGTTATTGATATTAAAGGTTAAGAATCATGAACAGGAAATTTATGAATGAAATAAGATTGACAGTGCATGAGTTTCTCATGACATATAAAGTGGCTGTTGCTTCATACAGTATGAAGTATTTGAAATTATAGGGAAATGGGTTTGCAGAAGAGATGATGAGAATTACAAGTGTCGAGGATTGTTATTAATTTCACACTCCTGAACATGGAATGACTTGTGTTCCGCGTGAGTACCAGTGTGCATACATTATCGTGAGATTTCCCTGGACGACCCTCTTGAACACCCTCCAATGAATATCCTAACGCCCTCCCACCCACCCTCACCCTCCAATTGATAAGGAAAGCCAATTATGACAGTAACCGTAAGCCTCTGTCTCCCGGAGTTACTAATGCATGCAGACTCCCTACCGCTAAAACGCATCGTGCCTTAAAATATCACTAGAGGGCATTACCACTCTTCTTTTCCCCGTCTCTCTCTGCTCCGCGGTCGACATCGGCTATCCCAGCATGCCGTTTTGCATTTCAAGTGCGAGAGCCTCAAGACACTTCTTAGCATGCTGGCTGTATATAAAACCCTTATGTTGAGATGGAACACACCCAGATGCTCACTCGCTAGTCTAAAGATTTATAATCGTCCTTTCTTTTTGGGGAATAATCATGTAATATCACATATATCTTTTCTTAAAAGGGGCAAGTTATTGATTTTTCTGGATTATTCAAAATGCTTGGTTCACTGAGTGTGATTGTATAAGCCAATCATTTGAAATTGAATATGAAGTGAAGAATTGGAATGTTTCATTTCAGACGGTTCATTACAACTGTCATAACAAATGTCAGCTGGACGTGCTTTCCAATACTCTAGCATGAATAGCTCAAATGACATATGAAAGTTGATGGGAAATCTATCACCGTGTTTCAATAAGTAGATTACAATTCTGAGAAATTCAAGATCAAAATAATCCCAAGGTTAGCATAGATGGTGAATTAGTAAAAATCAGAAGCTAATTATGAATTTCGTTTTTGAGGGATAGCGCAAGTACCCTTTAATAAAGTAGCACAAAAATGACTAAATATCAGTCGTATACAAGACAATTAATTAGAGAAATATACCACAGCACCATAGAAATGAGTTAATATCATTCATGCACTGAAAAGGAAGACAATGGATCTCCTAGGCAATCATTCTGGACACATTACACCTGCGCATACTGAATAATAAATGTGGGGTACCTCATGGGTAACCTGATAATAAGCAGGATTTCTATAGCAGCTCCGACTGGAAAGGGGTCGTGCAAGCAATCAAGTCTGGAAGTTCACCAGGATGAAATTAATCATTTTTATTGCTCTGGAGCTTAATTCAAGTCAGGAATTCTCTCTAATTATTCACATTGGAAGCCAACAGGCAATTTAATGTAAAAGAATGAATGCCAAACAGTTGGTTTAAATGATTTGCAGACAAGGAATGAATTGCTGATCAATGATGATACTTTACTTTACTGTTAGCGACATTGATATTTTAGTAATCTAACTCTGGAAGGAAGAGCTCTGGAATCTCTTAAAAAGCAAAGTACAAAAATATGAAATACATAAGTATGTTGTATGGAAACCACTCTTTTACATTCAGAATTCCAAGAAGAGCTTAGAACTGAGACACCCCCCCCCCCAAAAAAAAAAAAAAAAAAAAAATTGTTACACTGTCACATACATGTCTAACTTTCCATACATGTCTAACTTCCATGCAATAATTTGCAACAACAAAACAAAACAAAACACTCAATCATTTTACAACTTCTTTGTAGGTCACCATTTTCCCACTTTATTTTCAGCTTACTGTCTGTATTTCTTTGTATCTATAGCCACTCCATCTCATTACTGGCATCCTGAACATTACTGTACTATTTTCTCCTCTTCCCAGATACTCATTACTCGCCCACTCCCCGTCACCGTCGGTGCCCCCCTTCCCGCAACCCCCGTTTCTTTCATGACGTTGATTAACTATGAAATTCATATTTCCTCAATGAAGTAATACTCGTAGCATTTTCAAATAAAACTGATATTGCAACCTTGGGCTAGTACATGACACTCACCGTCCCTCATCTCCTTTGAATGCTGTTATTAGATCTTGCTGGTGCGTAAGAGCCACTTTTTTTCCCTTGTGTGGAAAGAAATAAAAGGTTACAGTTTGCTTTGGTTTTTTGTACGATTGCGAGACACCCTAAGCTATTATATCCTTGCAGTATCCAGACATTCATCTTTGGCTAATATATATCCATACTGTAGGCAACGGATAATACTGTTCCCCACTGCCATTGCATTATTGGCATAGCATGGGTTCGCTGTGGAGGGGGGGGGGGGGGGTTGGAGGATTGATTACTTCATAAAAAGCATTGTAAGCATTAAAAGAAAAAAAAAACATTGGGTTAGGGAAGGGTTTCACTTCCACTTCCCCTTTCAATTTCTTTCTCTCCTTTTTCCCCACTTAATTCTCTTTTTATGGGACCTCGCGTAAAAGCTAGTTGTCAACTAAATTACATAGTTGACAAGTAGGCTTAACAATTTGTTCTATATATACAACTGTATGAGTCCTGTTTCACTATGATTAAAAAAAGCCTTGGGTAATAAAAAAGCCAAGTGAATGCTTACATGCCATACTGTCCTTTCATGTCAATGTGATGTAGTGACATCACGCCTCCATTTACATGCATTCACAGCTCCATCAATACCGACAGGAGGAAGACCTCATACTCACACCTCATCATCATCCCTCATACAATGTCTCATCCCTATCTCCTCCTCCTCATCACATCATCTCCTCCTCCTCCTCATCGGCAGGTTTTGTTTCATCCTTCCGCAACTCCCTCATTCACCCCAGCCCAGACAAATGACAAGATACTCTCACTTCATAGCCATACCTCATCTCTCCTGCCTTTGTTCACCCGGTGAACCCCTTACTCATTAATCTGAGTCCACTATTATATGTTGAAATCAAGAAGGGTGTTTCACCAATATTAGATGGTACGAGGTGACACACTTTTGGCTCTCTAAACAGACAAAATTGGAGGATCATGAACATCTATACTGCATCCTGTCTGCCCTGCTTACTCTCAAAACACCCCCATGCATCAATCCATTTTATAATAGGAATGGTAGAATCCATAAAAAATGTACCTCTTCACTCTAAATGTTACAAGAGTTTAGTTTCTTTCTTTTTTGGGGGAAGGAGGGGCAGGGGGGGGGGGTCATATTCGGGTGCATTTCCACCCCTGCATCCAGAGAGTACTTTAATGTGACCTCAGTTAACCTTTAAACAAGCCCATTTATTATCCCCAACTCCATAAAATAATCATAAAAAATAATTCATACCATGTACCCCCCCCCCCTCCCCAATTGTTCAACCCTAAACAAGCTGGCCAATTGCATGGCCCTAATCCCATAAAATGGCAAAATAATCATACCAAACCATTCATACCTTATACTCGACCCCTCTCTCTGTCCCCCTCGATAACCAACCCACACCTCTCATTTACCCAACCAAGTCCACCTGGTACCCCCATCTTCCACCGCCTCCCACACCATCTCCCCATCTCCGTAGGAGGAGGATGCGGTCCACTTTAATTGCAACCCATCCTAGACAGCCTTTAGCGCCGCCACCACCGAACAAGACAAGACAAGGCAAGGCAAGGTGTGGCTGGGTTCCTCCTCTCCCTGTTCCCCCTCTATATAAAGCACCCCACACCTCTCATCAACCCAACCAAGTCCACCTTGATACCCCCATCTTCTACTGCCTCCTACACCATCTCCGTGGGAGGATGCAGTCCATTTTAATTGCAACCCATCCTAGACAGCCTTTAGCGCCGCCACTACCAAGCAAGGCAAGGTGTGGCTAGGTTCACCGGTGCAGATGGGACCCTGAAATCAAATCAACCAGCCTCACACCTCCCTACAACCATGCTTACACGTACATGGTGCTATCCCCAACAACCTGTTATAGTAGTGCACAACCCAAAACAATTACAAAATATCCTCATCTGCCAATCTCCCAGCTCTGACTGAGTAGTTATACACTGGTATTGCATTCTGGAGCATCATTGTCCTTTATAATAATAATATGTTTTCATTAATTCATGTGAAATGGTTCTTGAGGGTGAAAAATTGTCATATTTTGGATAGAGATTAAGTTATATCTTATGAGATATACAGCCATAATAATGTTAAATTAATTGCAAGAAGACAACCTTTGTGTCAGTTGTTTATGGTAATGCAACCTGCATCTTTTTTTTTTGGGGGGGGGGGAGAGGTAAATAGGATACATGTACATTGGTTTTAGAGCGTATTTTACACGGTTGTACTTTCAAGAGATATCAAAAGAAGATTACTAAATAAATTACAGTTGACTCAAGGAGCCTTGGACCAATTTTACTTTTATTTTTGCATCAATTACTTCTTTTCTACATGGGATAGACCTTAATTTTCATAAAGTCAACTGCATTTTAATTACAAATTCATATTAGTGTTATTGCTAGGATTACCATGCTCCTGGTTATGAGAGCTGGGCATTTATCAGTATTTACCAACAATATTTTTTTTAATGAGACTGGTGGAGGGATACACATTCATATTGATGGAAAGGGAATGAAGAAATTTGACAGATATTTAAACATACTTACCTGTTTGCCAAGATGGAAATTGCCCTTTCCTCCGATGATATGTTTGCTTTTCACAAAATGAGTGGGTCTAGTGTTCAATTTGCCATAGTGTGAAGCAAATAATGCAAGTTAGCTTCCTCAAAAACTAATGATAACTTTGATATTTTTCCTTTATATTTAGCTGGCGCTCTAAATTTGTGGCCATTATGTTCAGGTTACAATAAAGTCAAGTAAACCCTGCAAGATAGCTCCAAACTGGATTCATAGAAATTTAAAAATCAAGGGATCTTTTTTTTTAAACCTCTAGGAATAAAATAAACATTAAAAAAAGAATGATAAGAGAGCAGATGGCTCACAGATTTCAAAAGAGTGAATAGTCGAACTCTTTCATGCATTAATCCCTGCACAAAAAATAAAAATAAATTCTTTGATTGTTAGGTGCTGCTATCTATTCACACCATTTCAGATTCAGACAATAGCTGTCTTTTTCATTAAAAAAAAAAATCTCATTCATTAATCGGTGCACCTTGCACTGTGAATCATCATCATCATTCAATCTCCATTGTGTTCTTATGGCCTGGAGATATGGATAACCGTTGATCTATATGTGACCTCCGCCTGACCTAGCTAGACATGGACGAAGCCCTCTTTTGTTTTCTGCTGTGATTCACGGGTATCTGTCTGAAGCAACCAGCCGTGCATTCTAGCATGAATGGGGAATATATAAGAAGAGAAAACGAGATATAAAAGCAGCTTGCAGCTTGGCATCCAATCCAGGCACTACTAAAATCAATGAAATTTGTCTAGAGCGCTTTAATTGGAAACCGAATTATGGGTCTATGTTAATTACTCTCCCTCTCTCTCTCTACCCGTTGAGAGCTATTTATGTAGATATATACGGCAGCCATTGGCAAGAGGGCAATCCGCAAGGGCGTGTGTGTGTGTGTTCATGTGTGTGTGGCGTGTACGTGAGAGGGCAAAGCAGCGAATATAATCACTCCACTTGAGCAGTGTGTGTTATTTGATGCATGCTTGTGTTGTTTTTTATACCGAGAATCCTATTGAATAGACTCTGGATTGCTTTCGTTTTAAGGCATGATGGATTGTTCAATGACGTACATGTAATTAAAGGCATGATTATAATAATGAAGGTAATATCAAGATCTTAATTTGCATAAATGGTTACCAAGGCTACGTATACGGTGTACAATTATACAAGCAGTTTAATGCTCCTTGCAAAGTTGACGTTAATGTAATCAATAAATGAGTAAATCATTACATATTAGTGTAGAAAACTGAAACAGATTTCAATGTCATTCATGTAGATTTTTATAGATAATTACACCATTTAAATCTGGTTAATTTGCATAATGTTATGATTTACATGTCATTTTTTCTGGAAGGGTATTGTATTATTGAAGTTTAACATAATGTTCATGCCTAAGAATCCAGCTGTAATCTTCATGAATAATTGTCATCGTACTTGTGGATGAGTCACTAGAATATTCTGAATAATTCATAAACAAGATCTTACATCTTTTATGAGATATTGGATGACAGTGTCCTGGTACTATGTCAGGGTGACCTCGCACTTCTTGACATGGATTCACCTACGATTTGGCTGTCTACATTGACAGAAATTTGTACTTTGTATGTGATTACTTTTATATGAATGTGATTGGTGAAGCATGGAGGGAAAAAAAATAATCATCCTTTCTCATCTTTTTTTCTTCTATCTTATTTTTACAGAGCGGTCCACACCCCGCCAGCCTTCTAGCGCTACAGCAAATCTCCGAACTGGTGCTGCCTCAGTCCCGCTTCAACCAGAGCTCAGGGAGGAGTCTTGGAGGAGGTAAGACCCATGGGGTGTGGTATCGAGTGGGGAGGAGTTTGGGTGTGGTATTGGGGTGGGGCATACGTGGGACAAGTCGAGTGAAGCAACACAAAAGACGGGGAGCATTATGAGTTGGGATAGTGTACTTGGTAGAGTTATGAAAAGAGAAGGGAAAAGTTATGATAGTCAAGGGGAGTAGTCCTTGGAAGGAGGTGAGCAGGGAAATGCTTTGCCCATAGGGTGTGGCACAGGGTGTGACACAGGGCGTGGCACTAGCTTTACCATATAGTGTGGCATTGAGTTGGGGCACAAGGAAAAGTTACAAGATTTATGTTCTTACCTAATGCATATTTGGCTTGCGTATTGCTGCGTATTTCAGAGATGCCAACCCTCCCGATTTTATCGGGAGGCTCCCGATAATTCACCCCAACTCCCGACCTTACGATCACCATCCTTATCCTCCCGATTTATTATAAAAAAAAAAAAAAAAAAAAAATGATTTTTTTTTTTTTTTTTTTTTTTTTTTTTTTTATTATGATTTTTTTTGGAGGGCGCTTATCAGTATATATATCTGTGAATTGAAAGAGAAATATCATCTGCTAACTTAAGCATGTAATAATTCCACTATGTTAAAAGACAAATTAAGAGTAGCGAAAGATTGTTTCAGCATATGGATCGCCGTAACCAATGCGTGGATATTGCCACAGAATCCAAATGGCGGAAAATCAGCAAAATAAGACCAGGAAATGGTCTCGGAAGTATAAGACCGAATACAGTATCAAGTACCTGTGTAATCGGAAGTCTGAAAGTAATTCATCATGCATTTTGTACAATTTTTATGTTATTTAAAAAAAAAGGGGGAATTATTTAACTAAATACACATGTAAAATGCTCCAAAATAAGGCTCAGATTGCACCAGAGAGCATCTAGAACCCCAGAGCTTCCAGGGCCCTAAGGCGGGCCCTGGACCCCGGCCGCATGTGTCGGGCGCTACGCGCTCGAGATGTGCGCTACGCGCACATTAATTGGTGTCGATTACAAATCCTCCCTATTTCTGATTTCCAAAAGTTGGCATCTCTGGTATTTATGGCAAGCCGTTTAACATTTATTCCTATTTCTTGATATATCAAGAATAACCATTGCTTTACAACAAAAAATCATTTCTTGATATCAAGAAATAGGAATAGTCCTATGTTAAAACGGCTTGCCATAAATATGCAGCAATACGCAAGCCAAATACGCAAAGGTGTGACTGAGGCATTATGTAGGACATTGATGAGCATGATGTAACTAACAATTATATATTTATTTTATTGCATAATGTTAACATGAAGAGAAGAGAAATATGCTGATTGTAATAATGATAAGATCAAACACACTTTCAAGATTTAGATAACTAATATTAAATGATACAAAATTTGCTCAACCACAGTTGACTGTCCGCCCCCTTCATTCTTGAAGTGGCAAGTTTTCATCTGCACAGGAGTCGACAGGGGTCGCTATTTAGAATGATGAATTGGGTTTATTTATGAAAATGGGGTAACATGATTATTCAAGAACTTCAGGGAAGTAGCCAGGTATTTAGACTGAATACGTTGGCCCAGTAACCCACATTTGCATTAGTTATTCAATAATGGCATGCCAGTCAAACAGCCTCTAGGAAGAATGGCCACGGCACATTAGCTCCATCCAGTTGTGTTTCTTCTGCCTCTGCCTGCTTCTTCATGTTTCTTTATTGTGTCTGAACCTTGGCTGAACTCGTGGTCTCAGATTTGACAATTTACTAATAAGAGCGAAGAAGGACATTTTGACACCTGTGTGGTGATTATGTGGTCTTGCATGATCTGTGTTGCATTCGCAGAACAATGGTTGGGGAAATTGGACTTAAACTATAATTCACCCAGACTGAAATTCCTTTTTGTACAAATCTGAAATAATACCTCTCATCAATATCTCAATATTTAATGGTAAAAAGTTGAGAGAACACCCATGCTGTGGAGCCTGAAACATTTCACATTCATGGCGAATTTTGAAATAATTAATTTGCATTAGAATTCACTCTATCACTAATTTTGGATAGGTTTTATTTATCCTTGCCAAATTATAGCAAGTAGGTCTAAATGTTTGTTTTTTCCTTCCAAATTAAATGCAAGGGCCTGCTTTGTAGTTTTCAGGGAGCTATCATAGTCATATACATGTACATTCCAAAAATTAACATTGATTCCATAATTGAAATAATATTTCTCTTTTAAATCAATGTAGAACTCAAATGTGGATTGTGTGTCATTTGATACTATTTAATCTGGGGGAACAAAGGAAGTGGTGTTTTGTCATTCGTCGTCTTTGATTTATGAACATACAAATCCGTACATTTATATAGATGATGGATTTGTATGTCAATCTGTTTATGCATGTTCGATGCTCACTCTTACATGTATGTATCTGTCTTCCCTGTACAATGTATCCCTCCCTGCAGTTAAGATAAATCTGTCATATTGTATATTGTAAGAATAATCTGTCGTATTGTATACTGTAAGAATAATCTGTCGTATTGTATACTGTAAGAATAATCGTTTGCTTTGTTCTCTTGCATGATCGCTATTTCCCATTCACAACAGCAGGAAGATACGGAACAGGTGGAGTACACTTCATATTTTTTTGTAAAAAAAGAAAAGAAACCGCATCTTTAATTTAAAAAAATCATCGCTAATTCATTTCAAAGCTTACCCAATCACCCCCCCTTCACCCTATAAGTCCTTACTCGTCACTCCAACAAAAAATAAAATATTTTTTGGGGGGTACATTTTAAAAAGTACCAAAGTCAAATGGTAGTTGTGTTATAAATAGCTATGTTTTCTTGGTGTTGGTATTCAATGTATCGTGGGTATTAATTTCCAGTCTTATTTCTAAAGCAGAGCGATTTTAATTCAGTTGCAATATCAATTCCCACTCTTTATTTTTATTCAAATGATCAGTTGGTTTTGTCTCATATTTGGGTTTTTACAAAATTCACTGTCTTATTTGAAATAAGATTATATTTTGTTTTCTTGCTTACGTTTGGTATTCATGAAAGGAAATCCTCTTTCTTAAATTGTAGAATTTCAAAAGCCTTTTTAAAGTGCATACATAAACAATTCAGTTGCAGTTGGTCTAATAGAAATGAAATAAAAAATAAATGCTTAATACATTTGCTGGTGTCCATATTTTCCTGCAAATTCATTGTGGAAGTATAATACTTGATGCAATATATTTAAAAAGAACATTTTTCTATCTTTAATATAATATGGTGCAAGTGGGCCTTCAAATACTGTAAACGGAATCCCAAACAAATTTAGCACTTCTGTAAAACTGGAAACTCTCAAATTTCTTTTCCATGATTTGCAATTATTAGCCGTTAGTTTGTGACGAATCACAAAATACAGTTTATGTTTAATTTAATAGTTATGTAGCATGAAAGTTTTCGAAATATCTGCAACACCTGCAAAATTAGCAAAGGTTTCATACAGTCCGAACTTTCTGGTGCTACAGAAGTCATTATCGAGTTATTAACACATTCATTAGCATATTCAATAGTGCAGAGTCATTAAAGTCATCAAGAAGTCATTAATATATTCATTAATTATTGCAAAGTGCACTTTGCACAAATGTATGCTGTAATGTTCCATGTCACAAAACCCTAACCTGCATATACTAACAGCGGTATGATTCATACAAAATAACACCACCTTCAGACCTGTATGCCCACCTACTTAGTATCGTGTCCTTGAGCATGTACATAAGGGCATTAACGCATACACTTTAACACAGAGTTAGCACCCTTCTGGCTCTCAACAGATGATGTCATAGCTCTTATCATCTTGTAGTTCTAATCCGATATAGAGACTAAGTAAATACACCTTTCGGATTACGGCTAGTTTAAACTAGGTGTTAATACCCATATTTTCTCTATAGCCACATATCGAGTATAAGTTTCTTTCTCTCTTTCTCTCTCTTTCTCTCTCTCTTCTCTCTCTCTCTCTCTCTCTCTCTCTCTCTCTCTGTGTCTCTCCCTATCCCTCCCTGCCCCTCTCTGTCTCTCCCTCTCTGTCTCTCCATCTCTGTCTCTCTTATCTTATCTTAATCTCATTCAAACTAATTTGGTCATTCAAGTCCTTAGTCACTGGTAAATCTGACATTGACACCTAACAGGCAAAGCCACACCGCCGTAAAGTAATAATCCTTAATAGGGTTTAAAGGTGATTTTCCATATTTCAAATGAAATTTTGTTAAATCCTTCTCAGATATCACGGGCAACTGCATAGTTATGAACACACACTTAGCACTTTGTGTATTTAGGAAAAGATGTAGTTCAGTAGAAATGTAGTTGAATACAAGAAATCTAATTTTTAAAATGAACTAAGTGTAATAATTTTCTAACAACAACATTCATGCCGTGCTTCATACATGTTTGCCTTTTATTCAAGACCATGTAAGATATCTATGATAAAATTTAAGTAAAAAGAAAAAAGAAAACAAAGAAGATAGAAATATATGTGGAAGATCATAGTCCTTTTCCTGTAAACTTTCCAAAATATTTTACAGCAATGTGAAATAGGTTATACAGGATATTTAAGCACATAATATTATATATTTATCAATAACAATAGAAATAAAGTCATAGTTTCATAGGATGATAATGGAATGTGTATTACATATATGCCACCTGTTTGTAGTAGTGACTCTCATTGCCATGGAAACTCCATGCTTAAGCCATTGAAATGGTGGTATAGATAGTTGAATGATTTAGATGTGAAATTCTGGCATCTGTCCATAACAGGATAAATAGGGACAAAAGAGAGAAAGAAGTAAAACGATGTTTTTCTAAAGAAACATATTTGCTCTGCTAAATCAAAATAGTTTAAAACGCTAACAACACATTCTTTATCATTTTTGTTTGTTAATTTGTTTCAATATAGTTTCATTCTAAGTTAATATACTAACCTTTGCACAAAGTAATACATTATGTTTGCATCATGACCTCATATCAATTCCAACCATTCTCATTTTTAGCTTATTAAACACTGATTGATAATCATCCAATTTATTCATGCATTTACTAATTTTATGGATATATTTTGCATTCCCTCTGTAAAATTGTGTTAATTTTTTCAATAATACAACAGGCAATTTGAAGTGCCCATTCTAACTCAATAGATGGATTAATTGTAATTGTCTAGTAATGATATTCATTTTATTTAAGATTTGTTTGTACATATACATTTTGCATAATGTTTTTGGTTCACCATTGAGAATGATTCAGTTAAACAGTGTTGTATCATTTCTATATGAATGAATATAGTGAGCCTGTGATGATATTTAGGTTTTATCATTTTGCGTCCATTATTTGATTATGAATTTGACTCAACATATTTTGATAAAAATATGACTTTGCCTAACTTGCTCTCATTTGCTACAAATAAACTTTTAATATGTACTTACATGTATATCATGGATGGTCGTAACAAATATTTATTTTCTTCAATGTCTTTTGATTTGATTTTACCAGTGAACCAAATTAAGCTTCAAAAGTGATGTTTTTATCGTGAAGAATGTGTAACAGATATGAAACTTCATAATTCATTATTTTGTACAATTTGAGCTAACAAAGGGCAAAACAACGCATTTTTAGCTCTGTTTATCATATAATACTCTTGCAACACCAACAAGACCGACACCTGACCGACAGTTGGCCGAACACACAATAACATTACCATGATTGGCTAAGAATCAGTCTGGGTAGAGTCGGTGTGGAGTAGGTTTGTCGGTGTGATTGAGGTACATGTATTAAGTACAGATTCTGTCCTGCAAGTACGCATGTAATTGCAATACCACCATCTACATTTATCTTTGTCTATGGGTAATTCCATTAGATGTGTCCTGTATGATATTAATCATTTATTTAATTATTTATTCAAATATTCAAATTCCTTGCCATGACTATTGACAAATGATTCTCACTAGTACCATCTTGATAAGTCAGTGGTATTACTTAAAGAGATTCAAAGTATCATTTTCTAATGAAATAAAATAAATGGATAAAAGACGAACAGGACACATGGAACGGAAATGCCTACATGTTGTGTATTGGGTTATATTCATTTTGAACTGCGTGATCCCTAAACATTCAGCGTGACCAGTAACATTCAGTTCGCCTCATTTATTACTATTTTTTCTGTCCGTTTTATTACGTTAGGTTCGAGTTGTGTTATACCAGTAGCAGACATCCGAGGTTCTGACTCTCACAACTACACAAAGGGAGAGAAGGCTCTTCGCTGCAAGCTTGCCTCCCTCTATCGTCTTGTAGACCTCCACGGCTGGACCCATCTCATATACAACCACATCTCGGTAAGTCAACTTCATGTTTCATTTGTTTGGGGCCAGAAGGGCATTAGAGTTGCTCATGTGTTGGTATGTAGAGGGCAGCACATGGACGTACGCACAGGAGCGTAATACATGTTGGCTCAGTGTTATGTAGTGATCGCCAAGTTGCCTACTTCACGAACGACTATATACCCACTCATGAACATCTTTAAGTTGTATACTTTAACACAGAGATAATGCCCTTCTGGCTCTAAACAGATGACTTCTATTGCTGTGAAAAAAATAGTATACATTCAGTGTCTTATTAAAAGCCATCTCATATACAACCACATCCCAGTATCAAGTCAACTTCATATTTCATCTGTTTGGAGCCAGAAGGAAATTAAGTTTATTTTTCCTTGTAAAAATGCGTTATGTGTAAACTGAATTTTATCAGTGAGAATCAAATTTTGATATGGACAATAAATACATTGATTCAATTCAATTATATTCTATTTCTTGGAAAATGCTTGCATAATTGAAATATCAGATAGTTAATGGTACTGATTTCATGCATTTAAAAAAATCCAATAAAAGGAGAAAAAAATTGCAATTGCAATTTTTTTTCTTCCTACAACACGATTCAAAACCTTTTATAAAGGCCGCGTAACCTGTGTTGTGCATTAGCAATGACTTTATACTTAGTCATATTGCTATTCATTATGGGCACTGGGAACTCATTACCGACACGCTACATGGACCCCAATTCATAGCAGCAATATCCAATGCACAAGCAAATATCCATTACAGGTTAAGTGACTATTGATTTCTAAAAGGCTCAATGTAATTAAACTTTTGATATCTAAAAGCTTTTGTCATAACCTGAACAAAGGGCACTTACACAAAGATTATATATTCGACCCCATTGATCTACGCTAACGTTGATTTTAATAAGTGGTAGACATGTATATTTCATGGTACACACACCGTTAAAGGAAACTGAGTACGGTAGATTGTTTAGTTCTATTAAAATCTTTGATGTTTGTCCACAGGAAATTAATTGTAATTACAGTGACTTAGAGAGCCAAGTTCATATTGTGTCATTTGTTTGACATTTAGGGAGTTTATATTCAGTAGTGCAAATCTTTTCCAAGAAATATCTGTTGACATTTCCTACATGTTAGGTCAGTTGGGTAATAAGATTAAATGTAAATTTATGTGATATTATCGGAGCCTTGTTACGAGGTCAGCCAAATTTCAAGTACTCATTGACATGGCCGGCATTCCACGGCTCGATGGCAACGTCAAGAAGGATCTCAGAATACGTGATCGTGCCACGACCCTCTGCTATGTGTCGCAGGTTATCTGAAATCTTGTAAAGTGACTTGATATCGGAACTTCGTTGAGGTTTCTCTTTTTATCAGATAGGCTATTACTATAGGACACTTGTGTATGTCTGACTTTCTCATGTACCTTTCCTTGATGTTCTTGGGGATGTTTCTTAGTTGAGTATCAGCCTACTAAACTATCAATATATACTGCTTCATGAATAAAAGCAGTGGGCTTTGCAAATATTTACTTCGAGGCTATGTACCTACATGTACTTGTTGGTTTTTATATGACATCAGAACCAGGCACTTCACGATTGCAAACCATAAATGCATTCCCAGAATTCAGATACTTCTCAAATAAAGATCTACCAATTAAGCAAAGGAAGATTCTCCCAAGCAGCATGCAACTACACTTGTATTGTGGTTACTACTATCTGTTCTGCAATTTGTCAAACATTTGTATGGCTTCACGGACACTAATAACCCAAATCTTCCCTTCACGGTTTGGTTACTCTGGTCTAATTCTCTCTCTAAGGTTTGACCACTAAATGGTGCAAATCTTATAGGCCTGATTGACAATATTTGAGTGTGATGTTCCATCATTCGAATCTAAGCCAAACACAATAGAAGTTGACAGTCAGTGGAGAAAAAAATTGGTTCACAATGCTTGCTTGCTGGACTGTGAATGTCAAATCGGCCTCTCCCTTCTAAAACTTGTAAAAGGATCAATTGATGATTGATAAAGAGGTAGCTATAGACCCTTTGCAGTAAACTTTGTAGAGAGAGGTTCGCTGCGCTTTCAATTTTGTCTTGCTTTTGATACCAGACAGTAGGATAATAATGGCTGAGAGGGCATACAAGGATGCCATAGCCGATTACACACGTTTTTGAAGTGTTTGACGATTGTTGGTCCATTGTCAAGGATGTATAGACATGAAAAGCCAGCAGGTGCATTTACTCAGAATGATTTTCCACTGGAAGGGATATCGGGGTAAAGAATGTACATACATGAAGACATGCATGTGGTGTCAGGATGGGTTAAAGGGTAGGCTTCCTCTAGGCCAAGTGTATTCCTACTTGAAATAAGATACAGATTATTATAACGGCAATGAAAATATGGACAGTATTCAATTCACAGTGATACTTTTCGCTAAGTTTGCATTTTCTAAACTAAAGCAAAGCTTAGTTGCACACATGTGTGTTACTGTATTTCTTAGGTGTATATATTTACATGTAGTTATCACTTTAAAAAGGGGTTAGCCAGGGTGTCCATGAAATGATAAATTTGACATTACAAGTTTGATGAAGCAGCCCCCTCCTTTTTAAATAGAATTATGTATAATGTTGGTGTAGGTAAACATGAAGTTGAATTATTTGGTTGGCCTTATTCCATGTTTGGGGGTATGGGTGCATTGACATGTCTACTCTCAAACCCCCCCCCCCCCTCTCTCTATTACAGCTTGCTGCACCCCTTATGATTACTTGTAAAGCTAGTTGGGCAATATCATAGATCAGTAATCAGAGTCATAAGCCTGCTGTCACATAGTGATAATTGCACTGCGGCATGACATGAGAAACCACATCAGACTTCATGGTGAGGTAACACGCCCTCCTGCTGTCAGTGGGTCATTTATACCGGTGTGTAGTCTGCCCACAATCAGACCACCGGTATCAGGTTTCCAAGGGGTCAGGTTCGGCTGGTGAGGGCCAGATCGGTGTGGTGAGTGGTCTGAGAAAGATTTGGCAAGTTCATGATTGAATTTCTACCATAAGGCCGTTATTGGGGGGAGGGGGTATCAAAACTGTTATTAAAATGTTATTACGATTATTATATTCACCACTACCCCCAGGCCCCACCACTACTATCATTATCACACTCTACCCGTTTTCACCACCACCATGTCTTCTCCTTTTCCAATAATTTTATGATTACCTTCATTGATGTTCATCCCTTTCATCTTTACCGATGTATTGTCAGCAAAACAAACACTATCATTATCACCACCCTCTCTTGTACTAGTACCAAAAGTATAGCAACGCGCCAACACTGTTACCAGTAACACCAGTTCCTCTACCACTAGCTCCACCACCACCACCTCCACCACCACCACCACCACACCCCCTCCACAATTGCCACCATTACCACCATCCCAACCTCCCCCATTTCCACCACCACCACCAACACTGACAACAACAGCAACATTATCACCTCGATCACCACCACCACCACCACCACCACCACCCTTCCCTGTACCATAACCAGAGCTCCCACACCACTTCACCAAACAGTGACAATCAAAATCACAGAGGATAAACATTTCCTCATCCTGTTTCATGTTTTGCATGTTAGCTTCATCAATCAAGTTCACACATACATGTAGATCAAGAAAAAATAACAAGTTGACAAGGGAAGAAGATCTATGCATGTTTAAAGTTTACATTGGCAGACTAGATCCTTGCCACACCTGTTCTTGGAGAGGCAAAGGTGAGGAGAACCTGTCATGGATATGATCACAAGAGGGAGATAAATAGGTGGATGAATCACAGATTATGAATGTCAAGGTCAGAGAACAGCAGTCTGTCTACCTGGGATTGTGTGGTCTTTCGGTGTGGTAGAATAAAGGAGTAGTTGCAAACAGTCTGTCTATCTGGGCCTGTTGTCTTATGTGTGGTAGAAGAAAGAGTGTTTGCAAGCAGCCTGTCTACCTTAGCCTGTTGTGGTGTTGCATGTGGTTGCAAGCAGTCTTCCTTGGCCTGCCGTGTTCTTAATAAGTGTGGTAGAAGAAAGAAGTGGTTGCACTTAAACATACCGTATACTTTCTGCCGAATGAACTGCTCAAAAAGAAGTCATCAAGAAGATTAAGGTGTACTATCGAGCATAGATGATGAGTTTTTCATAATTTGAAGAGATTACTATAAATGATACAGAAATTATTGTTACCAAGGAGCTTTTGAAGCTGGAATTTATAGGACATAGGAAAAACTCTTTGATATCATATAGGGTATTAGGACAGATTATATTATGTCGTACATATTTATGTAGATGTTAAAGGAAGTGAAAAGGGATTGGAGAAGGGAGTGGGGTGGCAAGTAAGTTTCGGTGCAGCTGAGAACGAATGTCACAGATTTCTACAATAGCAGTGTCATTTTGTTATGTACCATTCACTCTGAGTAAACTCCTTTTCAATCGTCCAAGCATACACGCCTACATGAGCATCCAGGCGACCATATCTCATTGGGGATAGTGTTAATATTCATGGCACAGACTCTGCAGAGGTTGACTGAGTAAGATCTCAATCAAATTCAAAGCTTGTAGTAGAATGTCCTCATATGACCCCTACCAGATGGCCTGTCCTGAAATGACCCTTGGTAGACATGAGGACAAGGAGAGGCCCAAGGCTGAATGAAGCATAAACAAAATCTAGGGATCACAGAACACATTGCTCAGTCATGTTTAGAAGGGGAGCGGGAAGTTGCTAACCCTGTAAATCTTATGGGCTTTGGAGCCTGGTAACAGGAGGGGGAAGGGCCAGGCAGGAGGGAATATTTTGATGATGGGTGGGAGTCAAGTGCTGGTGACCCATAGTTGGTAAATCATCAGATTTATCCTAATAAAAGTAATTTATGTGTTCATTTCCCCCTTTTCTTTTTGTGTATCTCCCCCCTCTCCTTCCCACTCCCCAAATCAAATTTTTACTAAAGATATTTTTTCAA